TGTAACTGTCACAGGTTTATCCTTGATGACGGCCATGCTTGTTTTAATCATGTGACTATCTACTAAACTGGGATTGGTAGGTTGAATCAACTGTTGTTTCTCTTGTACCTTAGCAACCCTAGTAAAATACAGTGTGATAAAAAAAAAAGCATAAACCTTAAGCATATGAAATATTTTAACATCAAAAGCCTGACCACTAAACTGGGCACACACTGCACCCAATGATCATCATCCAACGCGATTTTATGGAGAATGCAACAGCAGGACGCAGCACATCAGATCGTTTTAATGACAATCCATTCAGACTGCTACCAAAAATTAGTAGAGGGTGTCGCATCATCTAGCGCTCACGGGAAGCGGAGTTGGATTCATCGTACGATGCACTAAGTGCCCAGCTTTAAGAAAAAAATTACCTAAAAAAAATGTCCTAATCACATCTTAGGTTTAAATTATGTAAAATTATTGAACAAACAAACTAACATGTTAGCATTAACACTCCATCCGTTACACACGGAGATCTCTGTGTTTGGAAACACAACGCTTGACCGCCAAATACAGAGATCTCCGTTTTTCAGGTTTTTTAACGAAATCCGATAGATGGGGTAACTACCGACATGTACTAATCATTTGAACACTATATTCAATCTGGACCGTAAGTATTTCACTATTTGTTTGTTTACATAGCGTAGAGTGGTATTGATTTACTTTCACAAAATCGCGATTATCCCAGCTTTGTTGTGCGAAATTGCATAAACCTCCAAAAGTGAGTCATTTTCATTTTACTGTTACGGGCAACAGTTTGTGATTAGAATAAAGTTATTGGTAACATTTTAAAGCTAAAATGTTTGTAATTCTTGTAGTGGCTGATATTATTTTTCAAATCCCTGGCGGTCAGAGTGTTAACATGAATACAAACCCCTCTCCCCCCCCCCCAGCACAGATCCCAGCACATTGTCCTAAAGTTATAAAAAGAAAGTTAAGGGCATAGCTCTACATTTTGTCGAATTAACTTAATAAAAATTTTTGCTGACAGTGATTTGAGCAGATTGAGATTTTCTAGATAAGTAAACACATTTGACCCCAAACTATGAGAGGACAGGAAAAACCAAGGACGATTAGATTTTAGTGGGACATCTGCATAAAATGAGTGACCATGGACATTAATAGATCCACTTTCCTGTGACTTTATTTTTAACAGAAGCACTGAAAATGCAATGTTCAGAACTGTGCAATTTTAAAATCTTCAAAAATGTTGCCAAAACTTCATCAATTGATTGCTCATTCCAATGCAAAAGAAAACACAGCAAAAGAAAATTTACTTTTTGTGACAATTTAGATTTTTACTATGAAAGTTCTCTGACTACCAATTTACAGTAACATGTTGATTGCCAGACCTTTTTTTTAGGTTCTGTTCCGTGTACCACAACAAGTATACACATGTAAAAACCTCAAATACACACAAATCTCTATATTTATTTATTATATATACACATTTTGAGAGCATCAGAGGAGATCCTATACAGCACTGCTTAGCACCTTTGCTTAGCTTAGCATTGCTCACACTAAGTTTTATGTAAGAGATACCTGTCATTTGCCAATATATGGGTTTGATATGACATCATCATGCCCATATTAGGACAAGTCAAACATACTATCATACTTTTTGTAATAGTATGGATATACTGTACCTTAAAGGCCTCTTACCTGGATTGCATCACCTTCAGGTATGCCATCATCTGCTCAGGTGTGGAGGGCTGTTGCTCGGCCACTGTATCCTTGTCCTCTTCAGTAGTGTGGTAAACATGGAGCAACTTGGAAATTTCACTCAACTGATCCAGTGTAAGAATTTCTGTTGATGAGTTTTCATTATCTACATCAAAAGGGCAAGGGGCAAACGTTAGATACAAAATTTTCTTGTCACATGATAACTGTAGCCAATCAACTTTTAAATAATATCCATAACAAAACAAAGGATAACAAAAGTATGCTAAACTTTCATTATAGATGACTATACTTAATTAATTTGACTTAATTATTTAATCTTAATAATGATAAAAATGACAGCAATAACAATACTTGAAAAAATAATATATTCTATATTATCATGTTTACAATACATCATACAGTATATTAAATTTAGTAGGTTGAAATACTGCAAACAAGTTAAATAGAACTTCTATATATGATTTTAATATTAATCCAAATATTAGTATGGTATATATATATATATATATATAAATATATATATATATATATATATATATATACATATATAACAAAACTATATATTTATTTTAATATTCAATGAAAATGACAAAAACTATAGTAATTTTAATAATCAAATTAATACTGAATATTGTAAAATTACTATTGAATTTATGTTATTACCACTCTTCTTTATTTTCAACCACTATCATATTAGATATAGGATTATTCGCTATGCTACTGATACTGTGTTGTTTCTTCATTTAATTTATTTTATTTGTCATGAAAAATTAGTGCGATAAATATTTTAATAAAATATATGATTGACTTGCGTAGCGCCATCAGCAGCTTTTTCATGAGTGGATACAGATGACATTATTATTAAATTATAGAGATCTGTATATAAACATCAAAAATAATTTCACTTTTTTCAGTAGAAAAAATAATTATTTAATTCACATTCATTGTCGTTTCAAGAAGCATGATCTCCCTTTCTGTTAACCATTTCCAGACTGAAAGGCAAATGAAGGCCACATCACATTTCCTGACCAACTAACTGACCAATTACGTTCACGCCGGCCGGCGTGCATTCTCAAGGCATGCACCGATAACATGTTTGCGAAAAAGAAAAGAGTATAGACTCGGCCATGTTTGAAAATCTGAAACTTCCTTCTTGGTATCTCTTATAAAGTTTATTTTTAAAAAGGAAGAGAAGGTCTTAGGCTTAGGTTTAAATCCCAGAGGATACAAATAACTTGCCCTCCTTTTCTATTATCATCTCAATAGATATGGGGATTTGATAGAAAAAACTATATTGTGCCTTGATTATGTTTAACTTCAGTCAGTAATGGATAAATATTCGTAGTCTTGACTACTGTATCTCATTAAATCAATTGAAAGAAGTTATAATACTAGTAACAATAAGAATAATGTTACATTTATAAAATGCATAATGCCAGAGATTCTATGTTCTTTAGATAAACAGAAAAGGGAAAAAAAAGAGTGATAAAGAAAAAAAAACTAAATCAAGAAATATCCTAAAACTAACAAATGCAACAGCATTGTAGATGGAACCTTAACTTTGCAGTTAACATACTACCCTTATAATTTGAAGGTATTTGGTTTGATCCTGCAAAAAGTGCCAGAATTATTGTGACAATCAACAACTTCAGTCCACAAGTGTTTTTATAAAAACTTGTTTAAAGAGTATCTGGGTGTCCATATAATTTGCTCAACAATTGAAAGAGACTTCAAACACAACTGACTAACCCAGCTTCTCAGACTTGGAATCAAAACAGATACATTTCTTTTCACCAAGCACAGATTTCCAAAAGTGTTCACGTATTACAGTTATTAAACTGGACTATACCAAAAACAAAAAATAAAGTGGCTGATCCTGGAATTCAAAAAAGAGGGGGCCCTAAGGAGGGACTTTTATAGTTGGTGAGTCTAGACAATCTCATGGTTAGGGCTGAGGTAAAAACATTTATGATTATTACTCCTCTAGATGGCCAGAAATGGCATTCTCAGACTTAAAATTTGAATACAATTTTAATTTTTTTTCTGCATTTTTTTCTTTAATTTTGAAAAGTTTTAGGAGGGCCCCCTTAAATCTGCCACTACAATGAATAAAATGAAATCATTTCTACTATCAAATTTATAAATTTAAAGCACGTACTGACTTAATGAATGCTGGTGTTATCTATTGCGACACCAAATCATACTTCAGAAAGTAGAAAGATTTGTATAATGAAATTCTTACATTATGTTTTCCATTATTCTAAGGCCGCAGTGAATCCCCTATGACATAATATCAACTGAAAGTTGCTTTGGTAACAGATATTGCAATTATAAGGAAATTACATATTAAGTGTAGTTAATAAAAGCAATTACCAATGTGGGATGCATCTGGGTCAAAGATAATAAGATAAAAGTTTACAAACATTACTATTTACAGTGCCAATGGATCCAAGATTTATTAATAAAAAAATACATTTGTCCAACTATGATTAAGACTGACCCTTATAAAATGAAGCACAAAAGGGCAGCTGATATTCAAGGGATATCTTCAATTAATTTGGTGAAAACTGAAGTTTTGTTTGTGTTAGATAAATATTGATTGGTGGGGGGGGGGGGTAGCTTGGAGTTGTACTGCTGTTTGCTCTAGGATATAAGTAAGCAATAAATTCTACCAGTAATGCAATGATAGGTAGTAGGCGCATATATGATCTGCAATTATTTTTAGCTCCAATGAGGAGCTCTAGAAACATCTGTTTTTAAATCTACTGCCTCTATTACACTGCCCTCATGAGGCTGATTGATTAATTGTTGATTAATAGAACTTTTTTGGATCTACTGCCTCTCTTATACTGCCCTCGTGAGGAGCTCTAGAAACATACGGCTGATTAATAGTTGATTGATTAATAGATCATTTTCAGTTCCACTGCCTCTATTTTACTGCCCTCATTGGAGCTTTCGAGATTACGAGAACTTGTTTTTAATGAAATTAGTCCTTCTCCCTATATTTTGCATAAATGTATGCACTCACCCCCTGTCTGTGGCACAACCCACACATTCCTGCAGTTGTTTATCTCACTGGAACTGCATAAGGATTACCTCTTCAGGCCTCAAGGGAACCTGGAAATTACCCATGGGGAAGGAGGACGCAATCTGTTCAGCTCAGGTTCAACACTGTCCTAAAAGGTGTCTTCAACAATAAATCTACATATACAATATCAGAGATGCATGCAATTATAACAGCGTCCTCATGGGAGGTCAGGGGAAATAATTGTCTCCCCATCAGATAACCATTGACCCTCATCGACCGACGCCATGATGAAACATTAAGTTGCCAATCCAAAGTTTTTTGTGATTCCTAACACTATATTCTAACACCACAATTTTGGCCCATTTTAAATCATAAAATCTATTCCCATGACCCAGGGATTTAATTCTGGGGCTCTGATCAAGGCTCTAGGTGACCCCTTGATTCTGACCCCCTGTCGGACTTGTCGGACACCCTGTCGGCATATTTCTAGAGCCGACACTGGATTACATATATTAGAAAGTGCCCTATGACTAACCTGTGGTTTCACATGGCGGAAGACTAGACTTTTTGAACTCAATCACTTCATTTTTTTTCTTTTTTTTTAATTTGTTAAAAAAAGTAATTGAATTAATAATGATAACCATAAACCTAGTCATTAGAAATCTTTTTTCTTGTTCAAAATGAAACTAGGCCGATGCATAATGATGTATGTCATTTTTTTCTTGGTTCATTACTAATCAAATTTGTAGATGACAAATATACATCAAGTTGGTATTGAATTATGATAATTTATGTGACTTAGTTTAAATGTAAAAATCTGAATACTCCACTAAAAATTATTATTATGCCAACTAAAACCATCTGATCTAAGCATTTTGCTAATACCCATTCACACGACGTACAACAGAAATGTAACACATTGTTACATGGTTATCACCCACGATATTCCTACCAAGATTCATTGCATTCACATAAGCACTTTCTATTTATGTAACATCCATTTCTCTTCATAATATTTATGCTTTTCATTAATGAAATAACATTGGCAAGTTTATCTATGGTTCATCATTGCGAAAAGTCAGGCCTAGAAATATTGGGTTTGTTTTTAAAAAGTTTGCAGTACAAGGCTACAAATGTCAAATCAATTAAAGTTCTTGGGCACGCATCATCAATGTAAACATCTCTGTAAACATTACAGACATCGTTGAGGTCTGTAAAGCTTACTGAGTTATTACACGGATGTCACATTTATTTTACATGGATGTGCATGCATTCACACGCTCATGTAAATGTAACAATTTGTTACATTTGCTAGCATTCTGTATGTGTGAGTCGGGTATAATGCGCTTTTGTCTCATGCTGCAGACCCCAGTTTAAGACCCAACTTGGGAAACCAGTTTAGAAATTTGGTCCGAATGCTCAGGTCCTCAAAAAAAAGTCACATGACAGCAAGATTGGTTAACCCATTAAATGTTGGTTTGCTCTGTACTGTGGCTGTGCGGGTCAAATTGGGCCCAGCCTAAATTTGCAATTACAATTTAAAAGTGGATGAGAACAACAAATTTATTATCATATATGAATGGACAATAAATGATAGACTGAATAAATGATTCAGTAAAACAATCAATAATAAAAATAATGAATGATATTATACTATTTATTTAAAATAATGGACACATATGAATATATAAGATACAATATTTCATTAATTATTATTATTATTATTATTGAAATATAATGATTAAATCTCATAAATATTGTCTATTACAGTACTCCTGTTAAAATTTATCTTTAACAGAAGGTAAAAATAAGACAAAAATGTAATATCCACCATCAATAAATATAGGCAAATAATATAACATTATATATTGCACACTATATCAATGTATACTCAATAAAAAAGTGATATTATAATATTGTGCAGAAAAACATTTGCATGGTCCACTTGATTTCCAGGATACCCCATTTCCTGTTGTTTGCTCAACATGCAGTTGAGTCAAGTCTCTTATTAACATTTTTATAGACCATAATCATGTGTAATTTCCAGGGAAACTTAATATTGATTGTGGGCTCTGTTGCAAGCGAACTTAAATACTGCTTTTTTTTAATTATATGTTTGATATTTTTCAAAAGGAAGATAATGATATATATATACACACACACACACACACACACACATATAT